ATAGTTAAACACTCCTCGAGTCCTGTAAAATAATTTCGATAAGAGACAATCTGAACTGTTAAAACGAACGAACGGCGAACTTTTCTCGTTCGAAAAAAAGAAAAAAAGAAAAAAAAAAAAAAAAAAAAAAAAAAGAAAGAAAGAAAAAGAAAGAAAAAAAAAAATACTTCTTTTCGTGACAATAAATCATCACGGCTAATCTTAGACATATGATTGAGAACGTCGAATCTTTTTCATCTTCTTTTTTCTTCTTCCATTTCGTTTTCTTTTTCTTATTCTTTTTATTTTTCTTTTTCTCTTCGTTTAAACAATAGATTCATAGCTTCTCGAAAAACGTTCTCGAATAATAGTAAACTTGGCATCGTTTCAATCGAATATCTGTTGCGAATAAAGGTGCATAAACCTTCTCTCTCTCTCTCTCTCTCTCTCTCTCTCTCTCTCTCTCCCCCTCTCTCTTTCTCTCTCTCTTCCTCTCTTTCTTTCTAGATATCGTTCGAAGAATATATGTATTTTTAGTACAGAATAAATCAAGTCAAAAAAAGGTATATTTGATGATTTCTTTAAAAAAATCGATGTCAACGAAAAATTCCATACATTTCTCTCTCTCTCTCTCTCTCTCTCTCTCTCTCTCTCTCTCTATATATATATATATATATATATATATATATATATATATATTAGAGGGACCGGAAAGTAATGTTGTTTCTGGGTATGTCGATATTTGATTGTGATTAAAAATAAAAACTTGTTAAAAATTTATTCGTTTGAATTTAATTTAAGAAAGAGACATTACTTTCCGGTTCCCCTAATATATATAAAGGAAAAAGAAATCCATTATTTTATTCTTTTTTGTTTTTTATTTGACCCAAATCGGACAATCCGAAATATGTTAAATAAAGTCTTGAAATTCACACAAAAATAATGGATTTCTTTTGCTCCAAACTAATATATATATATATACACATATATATTCCTTCGACAAAGAATCGAATCTCATTTCAACACATCAGATTATATATTATTGTATATGTAAATCGTAATTATTAAAAGATAATATATTTCGATTGAAAGATATTCCATAACGGATAACATAATGTTCTATTTATAATACTATTTGAAAATCAAAAATAAATATATTTGAATACGACATTACGAATTAAATCTTTTTTCCTTTCAACAAATAAATGTCAAATAAATGTTTGCGATAAAATTAAATTGACAATTGTAATGTTTAAGGAAAAAAAAAATGAAATAAAAATAAAAGAAATAAAAAGAAAGAGAGAACGAGAGAGAAAGAAAGAACGAGAGAGAGAGAGAGAGAGAGAGAGAGAACGAGAGAGAATTATTTTCTTCTTTTATTTCTTCTTGCCACAAACAGGACTCACGAAAATTCAATCTTCTCGTCACCTTCGATCATCATTACTATTACGAAGATCAAATGTGACCGGACTATTCTGAATGCGTCAATCATCGACCGCCGTTAATTACGTTCCTAACCGAGACCGCAATCACGCGGACCACATACTATATTTACCTTCTCGCTAACGGATTTCATCTCATCGAGTTTCGAATTTTCCTAGAACTTCCTATATACGCTTAATAATCAATTGATAATGGATACGATAATCGATACGTTGCATTACATTGTTCTTAATATTTTCGACGACTGGAAAAAGAAAGTACGAAAGACGGAAAAAAGAATGGAAAGGGGAGAAAAAAAGAAAAAATAATTAAAATAAAAAGAAACCGAAAAAAATTCATGGAAAAAATCATTCGAAATGATAACCCGTTCGATCGTTTATATGACGGAGTCAGCGAGGTGACACTTGAGAAATTTCATGATAATATGAGAATAAACGGAAGGAGTAAACAATCGCGATTATTCCCATTCTCAAGTGGCAAACTACGCGCATACACTTATTCGATATGATAAAATAATAGAAAAACATAGGAAGAATTTTGTTAGATGATCGATAAGTTAATCAATTCGTTGATACGCAATACACGAATACAAAATAATTATATATATATATATATATATATATATATATATATATATATATTATTACTTTATCAAATCATTACTTCAAGAAGCCACCGCGATTGATCGAATGATAAAAACACAGAATATACATCGATAAAAAAAAAAGAGAGAAAGAAAGAGAGAGAAAAAGAATAAGAGAAAAAAAAAAAGTAAAACCGAGAATGTAACAAAAAATTCGTTGTAAATACGCTTTAGTTAGTGGAATTATCAATTAAATTTGCTGACTAATCGCTAATAATTCGTTTCAATTGGTCAAGTATAATAATTAAAATATCGAAACGATAATGTATTTTTATAAACGTACTTCTTTTTCTCGTTTGTTTGTTTTATTTTTTTTCCCTTGTTTTTTGTTTTTGTTTTTTTTTTCTTGTTTTTTTCTTTTTGCGTTTTAAAAATATATTTAATTAATTTCCTTTCTCCTTTAAACTAATTTAGATTACGCCATTATTTCTGAAAATAATTCACTACGTCGTTAACTCATTTTATCCTCGTACCGGACGTATGGTTTTCCTTACGAAAGATTGACGTAATGTCGCAATCTGTTTTCCGAATTATATCCTTAGAATTTAATATGTTTCGATCGAAAACTAAAGCACGAGAAGAAGAGATCTAAAGATTTACGAGCGGAAACTAAAGCGTCCATGCCAACAAAAACCATTTTTCAGATATTTTTATAAGCGTCCGTTAACAAAAAGAAAAGAACTTTAACGTCTTCCTTCTCGAGCAAAACGATCGATTCATCAGGGAATATCTTTCATCGAGTACGATTTAAATCTCGAAGATGAGATAGAGATAGAGGGAGGAAAAAAAAAAAAAATTCAACTCGTATTTCGATTTTTAAGCCGCTGTATTTCTTTTTCTCTTAAAATACGAAAGACAAAGCCATTCATCCAAGGACAGTGAAAAATATTTCTCGTTAAAACGAACCAAAAAAAAAAAAAAAAAAAAAAAAAAACAAAGGAAAAAAAAGAGAGAAGAAGAGATAAAAAGAAAGAAAAGAGAGAGAGAGAGAGAGAGAGAGAGAGAGAGAGAGAGAGAGAGAAAAGATCATCCTTCTCCACTCATCGAGATGATCTTAAAATCAGAATTCGTGTGCCTTCCACATCGCAACCATAAATTTCACAGATTTTTTATCATAGTTTCCTTGAAGATCGAAAAGAACGTGCGATATTCGAAGTTGACTAATTAGCGTTTAGACGATATTAAATTGAAAATAAATTGAATAGAGAGAATGCCATGTGCGGAAATGGAATTATCGCGAATGAATTTGATTTCAAGTTGAGAAACTACAAAGAACTACGATGATTATATATATATATATATATATATATATATATATATATATATATATATATAATATATAATAAATATAAACAGTACATTTTCAAATATTTATATCGACGATTATCGAACAATATTGTCGTAGGAATCTTGTCATTATCACTCTATTTATCTATCATTTAATACTTCGGAAACAAATTTAATCGGATAGTAACTTCCTCGATATGGCAGAAATTTTCAAGTCAATCGTCAAACATATAAGTCTTGGAAAGCATAGTGACATCACTGAAAAAGTAAATGGTAGGGATAGATGTAAGTGCGTGGCGTGAATGCTGACGTTATTTTATCGTCACATTAATGCTCCGATAAAGAAACTTTTACCGCGCTCTTCGACCCCCTTAGACCAAATGGATTCACTATATTGAATTGAGTCATAAGATTGTTACGTATGGAAGAAAGAGAAAGAGAGAGAGAGAGAGAGAGAGAGAGAGAGAGAGAGAGAGAGAAAGAGAGAGAGAGAGAGTGATGTGCCTTTCAATTGCGAATTTAGAAACGTATGCTATCTCTTATGTAGACATTATAGCTATAAGTTATATGCCGAAAGTTACAAATTATGGTACTCTGCCTCGTGCCTTCCTTCTTTCTCTTTACTCAATATGTGTACATAGATTCGAATTTAGCTCCATAGTATGCTTCGTTCGATATCTTGAAAATTCTCGAACAGACCACGTGGTTCGAGTAAAATATAGAATAAGATCCTATATATCGAAATTCATCAAATTCATTAATGTAAATGTGAATTAAAATTCGAATAGAAAATTTATTTTCTTCCCAAAAAAAAAAAAAAAAAAAAAAAAAAAAAAAAAAAAAAAAAAAAAAAAAAAAAAAAAAAAAAAAAAAAAAAAAAAAAATATCTAAGAAATTTATTTTTACCAGAAGAATTAAAATAATTTTCTTTTTTTCTCTCTCTCTCTCTCTCTCTTATTTTTTTTTTTTTTTTTTTTTTTTTTTTTTTTTTACTATTTTTTTTTCTTTTCTTTTTACAAAATTCTTACGATAATAAAAATCTTTTAGATAATTGTAAAAACTTTCGTTCGTTTATTAACGTATCATATTCTAACGCCTATTAATCGACAGGATCTGATAGACTTTTTAAACAAAAACCCGATACGACTGATTTGATCCGTCAATCATTTAGGAAAAAAAAAAGAAGAAAAAAAAAAGAAAAAAGAAAAAAGAAAAAAGAAAAAAAAAAGATAAAGAAAAAAGATCGATTACGCGAACTACTTTCCCTGAAATATGTTGCGCGCCACTCGGGTTTCATATCAATGTTCAGTGACGCTATTTACGTCAGAATAATCTACATTTCAAAATAAAAATAATACAGTTTTGGAAATAATCATATTAATATTTGACAGAGCGAATTTCACAATGCATTTAAATATAAAATAAAAAATGAAATGATCGATTGTGCCATAAGATTTATTCTTTCATTAATATTCTTCGATTTAAATGAATTATATTTTCAAGACCTTGAGGTTATTTATTTACTTAGATACATTACCAATTAGTTTTTTTTTTTTTTTTTTTTCATTTTAAGTCGTGTACAGAAACTGATGTTACCAATATTACTTAATATAATAGGTATTATTAAATCGACATTAAAATGACTCACCATTGAGACCATACTTCTCCTGATTCCTTTTCACTTGGTCGAGGGACAATCCTTTATCCGAATCCACATTGAAATAATTTAATACCTCATCAACGGTCTTGGCATGGCCGTCCTCCATGATTGCTTCTTTATCTTAACACTGCTTATAGTATCCTCTTGGTGTTTATACCTTTCATTCACGTAAATAAATTCTGAAATATAAAAAAACAAAATAGATTTTAATATTAAGCATTCCATCTTTCAAATATTCTTAATCAAATATAGTTTAATATTTTTACAAAAGGATAGCATTATAATAATAATAATAATTAGTATTATTATTATTATTATTATTATTATTATTATTATTATTATTAAAGGAATAATAATAAATAAAATAATACATTCAGCAGACATTTAGAAAGAGTGAATAAAATAGAAAGCAATGACAAGGCAATATTTCAAGCTCAACATATTCAAAGAAAAAGATGTATTTAATTTTATATGATCAAAGAATAAAAATAAGTAGTACATAACTCAAATATGATACATTATTTTGCGTATTGCCATGAAACGAATAAAGACACTGTGACTAACTGCTGGTTGACATACTGCTTTAAAATAAAATAAAATGAAGCAAAAATGCGGGAAAAAAAGAATGAGAAGATGAAAGAGCAAGGAAAGGTCAAACGTACGGAACTAGAATATATGATAGGAAAGAAAAAAAGAAAAAGATAAGGATTCTAAACGCGTACACACACCTCACAAGAGCGCCGAGACGCTTTCGGTCCAGGTTAGAACGACCTCGAGACAAGGAAGTCTTCGATTACAAAGCAGTTTAAACGATTCAATTTTCTCTTTGACTTTCTTCCACTTTTCGAATGGATTTTAGGATACGGAGGAGAAAAAATGATCGCCATAAACTAGTTCAGGTATTCGTTGACGACGTGTCACGACAAAATCACGTTACGGGTTCACGAGTATTTAGGTTAGTTAGGAACAGGAGAGAGAAAGACAGATATATCTTGATTATGAGAAAGAAAGGAAAGAGAGAGAAAGAGAGAAGAATAGGCAGAGAAAAAGAGAGAGAAAGAGAGAGAGAGAAAAAGAAGGAGCGACATAAACGATTCACAGTTCACTCGAAGGCGCGAGAATAAGAGACGAAGAATATCTCCTTTGCCTTTAAAATCAAAGAAGATCACGAATTGATAAACTTTATTTTTTCTCTGATTAACGCGTCCCGTATCACGAGGCACATTCACTAAAATCCGAAGTGCACGTCATTTTCTTCTTGACAAGTACGAACCCGAATTGCTAACCAAACCTCCGCTTCCGTCTAACTAAAAGCGACGACAAATGACGAATCATCGCGCGCGTTACCGCGCCATCTGTCGGGCCGCATCGGTTATGAGTCGACGCGCACGTCTGATTTTACGGCGGATTTTACGGATGAGAATTCTTTTTTCTTCGACGAAATGAAATTGTCGATATCTTATAATACGTCCGAATTCATATAAATAAGATACGCCAATTTTGTTGTGACCTTTCGCGAGCGACTTTTTCGTAAATTAAATTAGAGGGGGTTAAGATCGAGATATCGCGACGCAGGAAAACAGACGACGAAACGAAAAGCAGAGAGCATGTGGAGCGACGCCATTGGTTAAAGCGGCGTTGATGGAGTGTGACGCACTCGGCTATTTTCAGGCTTCTGCTAGGCTATTTCCTTGGCGCGTATTTTAAGACGCTCACAGGACATTGCTGTATTGTCGTTATGTAATCATTATATAGGGAGGGCTTAAAATTTCTCCTTTTTCTTATTAAGTTCTGTTTATCGAAGTACAACGTAGGATAAACACAAATATTCTTTCATTTCCAAGTAAATACTTATTACTTATTAAAGAGAAGAGAAAGGATCGTTCGTACGTATAAGTTACACCATGTAAAATAAGAAAGCGTAAATATGACGGCTACGATTATGTAACGCATGTGCAAGCTAAATCGGTTTGTGCCGTTTAACTTACATCTTCGAATTACCAGGACTCTTCGTTCAACGTGGATTCAAATAATATCTATACTAATTAAAAATAGTAATTAATTTTATCTCTTATCTTAAACCTTGTATGTATTTATATAGACTATTTAACGCAGATAAGATTTATCGAGGCAAAAGAGAAAACTAAATCTCAGCTATCACGTGTACGAGGTAAATTTTTAAATATAAAAGAATAATGGTAATTTACTGAATCGATCGATATACAAAGATCGTAAAAGATCTCATTTCTTTTCATGAAAAATCTTATTGTAATATAAGCATAGAGTTCTCTGGTTGGTGTCAACGAAGACCACAGTGTCATTAAATCGTCGCAAGTTCAAGGGCGATACAGATCGAATTTAAAATTCGAGTCAAGTTCGGAGGTCTCGTCTACCGAGCCAAGGTTAGCTCTAAACTTAAGCATCAATAGGAAAGCAATGCAATGAGGTTAATCGAGGTTACGGTCATAGGATCAGTGACACAAAACTATTCGGCGCATATCTAAGCACTTTTGTCTAATCGATCTGGAATCTTTCACATCCCTTAACATAATATTTCCCAATCTATCAAAAGTTTTCTAAACTTTTCGTTATCGATTTCGATCAAATCCAACGATATATCTTAACAGAAATTCGATCCAAGATCAATTCGATGTGCTCAGAAAAAGAATTCGTGAATGAAATTGTCAAAGTTTATGCGATAAATAATCGTGAAATATCATTCGACTCTGGAAAGAAAAAGGAATTAGAAAAACAGTGGCGGCAGGAGGAGGGGGAGGGTAAAAGAAAGAATAAAAAAAAAAGGAAAGAAAGAAGACAAAGAAAACTTAAATAGAAGAAAGAAAAAAGAAAAAGAAGAAGAAAAAAAAAATAAACAAGTCCCGCGGACTAACCCTTGCAACACAATTATTGTTCTGGGCTATCCTTTTTTTTGCGAGAAAAATGACGCGCAGTAGTACATATCAGGCTATATGCCGGCCTCTGCAACAAACTTGCCTCCCGGAGAACTCGTCCGGAAGACGCACGTAAAGGGTTGATGATCGTGAAGAGACCGTTTGCGCGAAACTGGGAGAAGCTTTGGAAAACAATCTGAAAAGGACCCGTCCGGACAAGTGGCTCTCCCTCGAACGCCCGGGAAGCGACTAGTCGGCCAAATCGCGCGTGCCCGAGAGCGGACGCTTTTAGCACTCGTCTCCGACGACTTCCTAATTATTTTGGCAGAGATATTCGTCAGCTTCTCTCTCTCTCTCTCTCTCACACACTCTTTTATACATATACGCATACATACGCACACGTACGCAATTTACGGCCTCTCTCTCTTTCTCTCTCTCTCTCTCTTTCTTTTTCTCTCTCTCTCATTATTATTCTCATTCTCATTCTCACTCTCATTCTCATATTCATCCTCTCTTTGTCCTCTTTTCCAGTTGTTCAGTAATTATTAAACGTATCACAATTTCAAGATTTCTTGTTTTTATACTCTGTTTCTGTCTCTGTATCTGTATGACTGTCTGTTTCTATCTCTATCTCTATCTCTATCTCTATCTCTATCTCTATCTCTCTTTCTCTCTCTCTCTCTTTCTAGGCTTATATCATAGCTCGTGATAGAATAATAGAATTAACCTAGATTAATATAAAGTTTATTCTCAAATTATTAAAGTAGGAATTTTTAATAGATGTATAATAAATTATGATATAATTTTTTTGATATATATATATATATATTTATTTATTTCAATATATATATTTATATATATATATTTAAGTATATATATATGTATATATATATATATATGTATGTATATATATATGTATGTATATATATTTATATCTATGAATTATGTAGAAATATCGTTTTGAACTTTTCAAAGAACCCAATAGTAATGCTTCTATTTGAAGACGAGATGCAACATGGTCGACGGGCTATAAAGATAGGAAGTACGGCGATGTTTGTTGGCAAACAAGCAGAGGTCGTGTTTATATGTAACGTGCGCACAACACGCAGACGCGTCTAATGAGGTAATCCGCGAGAGCGAATCGCTGATATATCGTGCAGATTCTCGGAGGGAAGAAAATGTTTCGTTTGAAGAATCAGTAAATAAGAGTAGAGAAAAATAGAGAAAGAGAGAGAGAGAGAGAGAAAGAGAGAGAGAGATAAAGATAGAGAAAGAGAGAGAGAGAGAAGTACGGGAAAAAATAGAAAAGCAAAAATTGTCAATCTTTATATAATCTACAGATTATATAAAGCTTGAGTTTGAAAATGTCGAATTTAATATTCTTATGTTTTACAATCCCGAATTTCCTAATAAATTGATCAAATCATTTTTGGCTCTTGTACACATTGTCATAGTCTATTCAACGGTTCTATTCAAAATCTCATTTGAATGTACGTGGCAATGTAAAAAGACGGAATGGAGTATTTATCAAAACTCCCTGATAAATTTCCTCTATATCTTAGCGAATAAATATTATTAAAATATCTCATATTATTTTGGAATTATTTGCACGGATTGATTCTCCGATAAAACGACAAAAATCCAATATACTTTTTTATAGCCCTGTTGAGAAAGAGAGAGAAAGAGAGAAAGGGAGAAAGAGAGAGAGAGAGAAAACCTGTTACATAATTAACAGAACAAATGATAAAATTAGTTGAAGTTTAGACACGTGCGCTTGACTCACAAGTTTTTCGGCATCGAACGCGTTAATGAAATATCGAATCCACTAAATCCATGAAAGAAGATTTGAGCGAATTAAATAGATATTTTATGAATGAATCGACATAGTAATTACATCACGGTTAGAATATCCTTAGATCGCAGGATCAAAAAGCAAGAAGCAAGGTAATGCAATGTATTTTGGATTTGTTATTAATCGACGTTTAGATTAATTCTCACGCTTTTATTTGTAAAATCCACAAAAAACATAACTCCACGCCGAGACCAGTCCTGGTTTAGCTTTGTCTCTTTCATCGTCACAACACTGCTTTTCATCGATATTTTCCGATTATTTTTGTTAAATTTCTTATTTCATTTATTTCATTCTCTCTCTTTCTCTCTTTCTCTTTCTCTCTCTCTCTTTTTCTCTCTTTCTCTTTCTCTCTCTCTCTCCCTCTTTCGTCACTACGCGAATATCACAAAAGCACTGTTATATGTCTTGTCACCAGCATGTCTTTCGAATTAACTTACCAGTATCTTCCCTTTCTACAGGTCCGTTATCTTTATGACTTAATATCACCGGCACAGCAGACTCCGACTAATTAAACACTTTTGCCCAACACCGATAATTAATCTTCTTATTATTCTTATTCCTTCGCAACTCTTCCAAAAATGGAATCGATTGATGATAGTGAAATAATGTTCCACGATAAAAAATCGTCAAGATTTCAGGTACGACGAATTTACTCCTCCCTGTGCATGGTTGTTTACGCGCGTTTCACTCGAAATTCTTACATTTAAGGACAACAAAGAAACATTCAAAGGGCTACGCCTGCGTTGCTGAACGAAACGAAGCGCTGAGAGTCTGCGAAAATCATTTAAATAGTCCATCAACGTCGCTACCTGGCGGCCAGACGTCGAACGAGGAAAAGTCTGGCCGGAAGCCAGTGGTCCCGGACGTTGCAAAAGGGAGGTAGGTTCTTTGCTTCTCTCTTTCTCTCTCTTTCTACCTCTACTTTGCACTTTTTCCATCTAACCTTGCAACTCGCCAAACCCCTCTAAATTGAGTAAACATTCCTTTCTAAGACTCTACTTTAATCTTTTAGGTTAGGTCGGCCCGAACAAACGATAAAAGGAGTCATCTTTGTCGCCATTTTTGTTCTTCGATCTCGGTACCGAAAGTGTTCCGCTAGCAAAGCTCTGACGTAAAGTTTATTAAATCTATCTTCAAAAAATGTCATTGTAATTTCGACGATTGCAATGTAAACATGTTAAGTTTCGCGGAAGTATATCATTATAAATTATGAATACATCTGTAGTACGGAAATTAAATGAAAGATTAAAAAATAATTGATCTGTATGATAAACTTTATATTTCCCTTGTTTCGATAACAGAATAGTAAACAATAAAAAAATACTATTACGTATTATCATAATGTATTCCATTATATTATATATTCTTTTTTCTTTTTTCTTTTTTCTTTTTTTTTTTTTTTTTTTTTTTTATATTATGCCGCTACTGATAAAGTACTCAAACGAATATGTTTACGATGTGACAGGTATCTACACATTCGGCGTAGTCAGTCACGATGCATACGATAAACACACATTTGAGCTGACACGCGCACACGCGAGCAAGCAGAAAGTTACGTTCGCCTACGCTCGAGGCGCCTGCTGTTCCAAGTATAAGCGTGGCAAGAGGTAGAGCAAAAGAAGAGACGGGAAGAGAAGGGAAGACGTAAAACGCACGGTCAACGGCCTGTTCTTTGCGGGAATTCTAAATACATTTAACGTACAAGCCAATGCGTTACCGTTACGGTTCCACTGTCACCAGAAAAGCTCACCGGTGCTTTCGCCTGGTTATCTTTGATAAAGTTAGATGTGCTCGGCTGAATTCACTTTAAAATTTTCTTATACACCCTACGTATCTAAGCTCCCTCAAATCCGAGAAATTCCATTTTTTTTTTTTTTTTCATAATCAAATACATCGATTTAATGTTGAAATTTATATTTTATGACATTATTCTGAATACTAATGTTTTTATATAAATAATGTGCTATTTAATATTTGAAATATTAAAAATGTTTTGTGCGTCCGATAAGAGAACCAGTTAAAATTATTTTTATATATTTTATTTTAGAAAAATTCTATCATATAGATAGATGGTTTTTAATTTATATAGATACATTAAAAATCAGCGACACGGTGGTCAGTATACATCTTAAAGAAAAATTCATCGTGTTTGCTATCATGGTTAATGAATAACTCTTTTCATAGTAATTTATCAAACAGAACACGTGTTTAAAAACTTCGAACTCCTTGCAAACGTGAAGTTCAGGAGAAGGTAGTTAAAAATAGAGCTCGAAGCATTATAGCTTTGCCGTGTGCCGGTGCTGGCAGAAGAGAATCCTATGTATTTATGGACGTTTTACGTTTTTATAAATGAACTGCTAAACAGCTTTGATGAGACTGACTGTCAAGAAAAACTATCTTCCATGGTCATCGTCATCTTTCTCAAATAGATAGATCCTCGAACTTCGTCGGGCTTTTCGTTACAATGACAAATATAGAATTGACAGATTCGATGAAAGTAAAAATACATCATAATTATTGTATTAACGAAGGAGCAATAATTCAACTTCATTAATCCTTGCTAAGTAAAATAATCGCCGATGGTGATTATTGTATTCGAAAAGTAATTGAAATTTTTAGTTCGAAATTCTTGTTCCTGAAAATACGTGAAAGCTCGTTGTCAGTGTTGATGGACATATGACGTCGATGGTGTCATGAACATGCTCCGACCCAGCTAACCCTCAACCTAACCAGAATCGAAAACATCAGGTCATGTGTGAAGGATCGTTCGGATAGATATATATTTTCTCCGTATACTGCACATATTTTTAGGTAAGCAGCGAAATAAAACGAAATTAGAACGCTCGCGGCCTTTGTAAGAGCCGACGTCGTCATTAGTCGTTTGAAGGCTCACAGTACGTTACGTATGTTTCAATCCACCGTCATTCTATCCCTGGGAGGCATTATTGTCGCCAGTATCCAGAATAGCAATGTAAACGTGTGTGTGGGCCTCCTCGGCTAATCTCAGCTCGCTTTCATCGGTTATTGAAATTCTAATGGCTAACTGTAACCAGATGTTCTTGGTAATTAATCTTACCAATAATCGTCACAAGATCTACCTAAATCTCTCTCCGTATATCATGCTTGATGTATGTATATTGTACATACGTATGTATATTATTAAAGAATGTTTGGAATTTGTGATTCAACGATGTTAAGACATGTAGTATTCGTAAAATCAAATAGAATATCTCGCGAATCAAAGAATCGTTTACTTTTCATTTCCCTTGAAAATCCTCTGAAAATACTCTAAATCATTTATAAGCGAAGAAAACGTACAAAAAAAAAAAAAGAAAAAAAAAATAAATAAAGAAAAAACTTCCGAAATAAATATCTGTATACATGCTATACCTACTCCATACAACTCGTAAGCTAAAGGGAAAGCGGAAAGATATTTATATTCTCTGGTAAGACTTTGGACCGTGCACGAAACGGGAGGAATGAAAAAAATGACGCAACGTCATAGCCGTGAATAAGTGACTGTTATGACAGAACAAAATAGGAACTTGAAATCGTCACTGGGAGTCTTCGTTAAACGGGAGTTAGAGTGCACGAGTCTTGTCCTGTAAACGTATGCAAACTCTCTTGAAGTAGTCGAACGCGTATGACAGGGAGTTTAGTCGTACGTTGATAGCTGTTGTATGTGCGCTTTGTACCATCGCCAGCCGGTTTATCTCAAACGGTTTCTGTCTCGAGAGAAGTATAATATTAGATGCGGCATGTAATTCATGTTACACTTCTTCGAGAAAATGAATTTACGATTATTCGAATGATTTTTCTTTCTCAACGTTATCTTGTCGTATCGTCGATCGTTTCTCGATTAATCATACAATTTGTAAAGAATCTTGAAAATAATTGGATGCATTTCTTAACGACAAAGAAGTTATTCACACCACGAGACATAGGTCTTTGCCTTACGCCATGACATACCGGTAGGTCGGGCAGAAAGCCCACCGATGCTGTCTGACGAATTCAAAGATCAAAATCGATTGCAATCCGACCGAAGTGTTCCTATTCCGTATTCTAAACCGGCTGCCTACCCTTCCCCTACCACCTTCCTTTTTAACCACTCACTTAGGCCCCCGTCGCTTCTCCCTGCTCTTAATCTTTTTCAAAGTTAATACAAATCGGTATTACTTATGTAAACTATCTCAAGTAGTGAAGTAACATTGAGCTAATTATAAATTCAGCGCTAGTTGAGTTCGTACGTAGATACGTACGTTCATTACCTACGTATAAGCAGTCAAGTAATTTGCGATGCAGTTGGTCTTAGGAGACCTATGCTACGACGACCTACCTAAAAATATACTTAGGGGGTCCGATCAACGGCCAACTGGGCCAGTGAAGTAATCGTAGCTCAACGTCCCAAATATAGTCCGACATCTCTACATAGCGACTACCGATAGTTGGCATCACGCGTTTATATCCCGATTTGCAGGTGTAACGTGGAGTATAATAACGTCTGTCATCACGATTCTTTAATGACATTTCTGTACCAATGTGTTTTCGTACAGACAAACTCGATAAATGTTATTATCATATATTCGATAAGATATAATTATTATTCGAATTATTTGTAAGAAAATTTAAATAAGAATCCGTTCGTATTAACGATTTTATCCAATCTTCGACAATATACAATATTTTATATAAAATTTCTATCTAACTCGACATTTTCGTAGAAACTATAAACTCTATGAATATTTCTAACGCATTTTCAAATAACACCCAACACGATAATTATAATTCTGATTACGAGTATAGATGTCATAAAACATATACAAAAAAAGAAAGATTTCTCCGTCGAAATGTACAAAGATCGATTAGAGAAGCTTAGAACAAATTTCCTTTGGCAAAGTTAACAAATCACGATTCTGTGATAGGCAGAAGCTTGCCATCGATTTCCCACTTGGGATGATGTTCTCTTCTGTAAGAGAACGACACACGACAGGTATTGTCCACGATCTTAAATTATTCAACGTTCTCTAACACCGGCGAGAATCTTTGGCAGGTTTCGAGCGAGTGCGACGTCGAGAAAACGCAGAAAATTCTCATCTATCATGTCGAAACGCGTTACGCGAAAATAGTCGCAAGGATACCGCGAGGTCGGATTTGGTTTTGGCTCTCTGTGGAAGAGTAGAGAGAGCAGACTTTGAGTTTCTTGCGAGAGAATCTCACATACTATTCCTGACAATTTTCCTATCATCTCACGTCATCGAGTCTTGGAACATTATGGACGATGACGACGACGAATCGTCGATGATTTTCTGTACGTAGCGTAAAGAGAAGGGGAAAAGAAACTTGTTCCAAATATCCTTTTTTTTTTCTTTCTCTTTCTCTATATATTTTTTCTTCTTTTTTTTTTTTTTTTTTTTTTTTTTATAAACATTCGTCCATTTACATTTCTTCTTTCTTTCTTTCTTTTTTTTTCTCTTCCGTTTTTCCAAAGATAAACGCATAGAGGGATACGACTGATTCAATCAGAACCAAACTCCAGAGTTCGAAATAACCAAGTTCATCTTACGCGTTCAGTTTCCATTAGGCTATAATTCACAGTGGCACACGTGTTAAAGCACGTGAGTTATGACGTAATGGTACAATGACGCGGTCATCGTAAATTCATTCGCCGGACACTCACACACTGTACTTTATTGCTCTTGCTCTTTGTAACATTTCGTTCTTTTTTTTTCTTTTTTGCTTTTTCTCTTTTTTTATTTTTTTTTTTTTGCTTTTTTTTCTCTTTTTTCTCTTTTTTTTTTTTTTGTTTTTTTTTCTTTTTCGTCGAACGTCGGAATGTGCGCTCTCGTTCGAAGTGTAAAGAAAGAAAAAGAAAAGAAAATAAAAAAAGACATGAAAAGAAGAAAAAACGAAACAAAAAAAACAAACAAAAGAACCGATTTTTTCCGATCGATATTAAGATGATGATAGATCATTTAAATTAGTTAATTATTATAGATAATTTTTCTTATAATTATCATGACATTATTATTACTACTTTATATTCAATGATGAACATGTCATCTCGGCAGTGCCATTAGTTTCTCTTCAGCTCGGTAAAGGGTGTCTATATGTGAAAGACTTACAAAGCGACTCTCACGAGTAATCTAACGGCTACCTAACGAGATAATTTGATATTACTCGATGCTCTCGCGAATATACGGTTTGAGTGGTGAGTTTCAAGATGAAAGACCACGTGCATATGTCTCTATTCTATATGTTATCGATACTTCGAAAAAGTAAGTAATGTTTTAAAGGCAGAACAATGTCGAGAAAAGTTTGGGTCAACGGAATATTTTCTAGGGATCTTTCTATATCTAGGGATGACTATAATCGAATGTTGAACGATCCTGTAAAAAACGGTGATGTAACTCTCTCTCTCTCTCTCCCTGTATTCGAACTCATTTAGAAACTAGTATTTCCTTTCTTCTGGCTGAAAAGATCATCGATGTCACGCGGGATCCTTGAAGCAGGAGCTATTATGGCCGGTCAAGCCTACGCTCTAGGCCAGGGGCTAGGCTAGGCTATTTCCGCTGTTTAGCTTATGGACAAAAATAGTCGTTGAGAGCCGAGTAAATTCGCCTTCGAATTTACTGGGACTTTTAGGTAAGATGACTACTTTCTCATTGATTATCCATCGTATTGAATATCAACATCACTGTATATGTATTTTTAAAGGTAATCATGCGTATAGTCGATTGGAATATCGTTTCTTACGAGATATAAGTATTCAAAGAAACTATCGAAATACCTATAATCCGTGTTTTTTTTTTTTCATAAAAATATCCTCTCTCTTGGGAGAGAGAGAGAGAGAGAGAGAGAGAAAAAGAGAGAGAGAGAGAGAGAACGAAAAAGTTTTTTTTTAACTTATCCCGTTTATTTGACTAACAGTACCTTGACCAGTCTTCGCATACGTCTTATATACGTCTATATAATTGCGACTGTAAGCAATAAAGAAGTTTGTTTGTATTTGTTACTGGAGCAACATCGGGAGAGTATTTTTTTGGCCAATGAATCGCGGAAGTGCTCACTCGACAATTTATTTGTTCGCTTCTCCATGTGGGATCGTTGTACGAGCTCGTAAATAACATCGGGTGATATTCCCTTTTTCTTTTCTCTCTCTTTTTTTCTCTCACTCTCTCTGTCTCTCTCTCTCTCCTTATTCTTCTTCTTCTCGTCTATATAGAGAAACTACGAAGTCACAAATTCTTAATAAACAGCCGAAAATAATCATCTTTACGATATATGGTTGAAGTAATATTCGTTTCTAAGCTAGATGAAGGAAATTCTGGATCTTTAATCAAAATCTGGGACATTATCGTGTCACGACCCGAGGTACCCATTATTTCAGTAATTGGTACAAACGATTAATTTATTTTCACCTACGCATTCGCGTTATTCTCTGTCAACCGTATTGATAGCACGGTCCGCACGTTGGTAGATACTTTTCGTCTCATGAAACAAAGTTATTTCCACTGTCGCCAACGTGCGACAGGTGCTTTACACTGGCTTTACTACTGATTTCCCGTCAGAATCAACTTTCTTACTTATTTACTCTTAGTCTTCTTTTTTCTTTTTATTGTTTCTTTTCTTTTTCCCTTTTTCCATTTCTTTCTCTTATTTAACTTACTTACATTATCTGATCCAAAGAACGATCCAAGGAATATATAATAATTATCAATATGTTAATAAGTTTTTGTCTAATTCAAATGATTGTCTTTCATGTTTGCATGTATTATTAAAAATCAAGAAAGAATAAGGACAATGAGCAGAAAAGCACAGAATTTGGCAATAGATCTTTAACGAAAATTTGTGCAAAGAGAATTTCGAAACAACGAGAAGACCGAGATATTTTAAATCGTCCACTTGTTGGCAGTAGTTACGTTGCAACAGTGAAATCGTTCGTCTTGAGCTATCCGATGGATAGATAGATTTGCGGCATAATTTTGGCAAGCTTCTAATGGCACTTATAGCTGATTGTCCACACGAGTGACGAGTTTTTGCATTGCTAAAACGGGAAAAAGAATGAAACGAAGAGCGAGTAAGTCGAGGTAAATGGAGAAACAAATAATAATAATAATAATAATAATAATAATAATAATAATAATAATAATAATACGTGATTGAATTAATTTTAAACATTGTGCATCAATGTCTTCCTGGATTCGATTGAAATTTATGAATTAACTTAATGTGTGAATATTAATGAATTTTAATGAAATTCAAGAAAAAAGATTTCGTTGATTCGATCTTATGAACTTACAATCATTTGGTCTATTGATATCATTATATTCTATCATTATACTCTATTGGTATAAAACTAAATCCTTTTAACATTGGAAAAAAGAAGAAAATGAAAATGTAAAAAGAAAAAAAAAGAAGAAGAAGAAGCAACGAGGATACACACCTCGAAAGCTACTTCACCTGCCATCGGACACCAGTGTGACCAAGCTGACCGTCCAACAGGACGCCTACACAAATTGCTACCACGTTATTTCGAGTGATTTGGCCTTGGGTGGCGGCCAGAGAAAACTTTTGAAATATCGGGGAACGCTGAAGCTCTTTCTCAGCTATCGGGACTCCCAGATATGTATCTATCGAGAGTCCTAGTTAAAAGGAGTGCAACAACTAGTAGATAGATAATGTCTACGTAACATAAATCCAATGTAAAATCAATTCGATCGTTATTCCTTAGGAAAATTATCGATCATTCTTTAATATCCAAAATCAACCCTGAATCTCGTAAATAAATATGATGATATCTACAAAATCTGTGTATACACACACATGCATATATATATATATATATATATATATATATATATAGTTATATGTATATAGTATATATGTATATATAAATGCTTCAACAAATTTGACCCAAATTTTCGCAGACCTATAATAGTAAATTATATGAATAATTTATAGGTCGAAGAAACTAACTGTTTGTTCTGATATTAAAAGACGTTTATTACTTTGCACTTTTGGCATTAGCCTGTTTGTTCCTAGTCGACTATAAGTGAACTAACGATAACTATACCTTCTATTTACAGTTTTAAAGCGAACTCGATATAATATTGTCACATTGATGTCTACAATATTATTTTATCTTCTTTCTTTTTATTTTATACACATACGCACACACAGAGGGAGAGAGAGAGAGAGAGAATATTAAAAATATAATAAGAAAAGGTGTGGTGTCGATCCCTCTTGTGCTTACAATATCGAGAATAATAAAAGCATGCTTTAGTGTGCCAAAACACTCAACAAAGTTATGATATATATCGTTACGTGCCGACTAACTACTAAGAGTCAACAATGTAAGGAAGTACATTGCTAAGGAATCTGCGATAGAAGATACTTCGAGATATTGTCGATCTTTCTAAAATAAAATAATTTTCTATTTCTCGCCGTTCGTAGATTAGACAAAGATGAAAATTAATAAAGAGATTAATTGGAAGATACTTCGAGATATTGTCGTTCTTTCGAAAATAAAATAATTTCTTATTTCTCGCCGTTCGTAGATTAGACGAAGATGAAAATTAATAAAGAGATTAATTGTAAAACGAATAAAATGGAGAATTTCTTTCTTCAAATTTTTTACCCCAAATTCTTAATAACTTTGGATCTTCAGGGAAATTTCCAAAGGAATTTTCGTCTCGGTCGTGACGTCACAAACGTATTATTATTTGGCACGGTTAAAACGTGACGTCGCAGCTCGATGAAAGGCCGAACATCGAGAAAAAGAGAGAGAGAGAGAGAGAGAGAGAGAGAGATACAAAAAGAAAGAGAGAAAAAGAGAGAGACAGAGAGAAATAGAAAAAGAGAAAAAGAGAAAGAGAGAGAGAAAAAAAATATGATAGATGGACGTGCGTGGCGATCGACGTGTCAGAGTAGGAGGGATAATTGGATTTTTCAAAAGAACGTCTCTTTGGCAAGCCGAGAGCACTTCCTCGGCTCGAGACAAGCTTTGGCCGAGTTTGAGAAGCGTCGAGCTCGAGAACGAGTCATAATAATAACGTCTCATGCAAGGATTCCGCCGCTTGTGATTCCTATCTTAAATTTAAATAGAATAGTAGTGGTGGTGCCTGTTGGTGGTGCTGATGCTGTTGCTATTCCTACTGCTACTGCTGTTGGTGGTGATAGTGGTAGAAGTGATATTAGTAATAGTAATAGTAATAGTAGTAGTAGTAGTATTGATAGTAATAGTAAGATTACGAGTAGTAGTAATAATACTAGTATAGTAGTAGTAGTAATAGTAGTAGCAGTAGTAGTAGTAGTAGCAGCAGTAGTAGTAGTAATAGTAATAGTACTAGCAGTAGTAGTAGTAATAGTAGTAGTAGTAATAGTAATAGTAGTAGTAATAATGACGGTAGTGGCGGGTCATCGAGTAAAAGGTTAACCGCAAAATAAGATTACGAACTTGCAACTGGAGTTGAACTGAGCGTACATACATATGTATATACTTATATAAATGCTTGATATCTAATCGATTCTTTTCCTTTCTTTTCTCTTTTCCTTTCTGATTTCTTTTTTCTTGTTTTCTTTCTTTTTTTTATTGATCTTCTTTTATTAGTCTTCTTTTATTAATACAGTTCAAGTTCTCTCTCATGACATTTTTTAGTATAGAAATAATTAGTGGAACGAATTTGTTTTTCGCAAAATGATATTTCAAATAATGTTACTTCGTAACAATTGGCAGACTAAACGAATATACTTTTAGACCGCCAACTAAGGAATCATTAATTTATTTGACATTAGACGAATAGTTAATGCGATTACGATTTGGTCGACTAAGTATTCGAATTAGATACGAGAACATTGACGGATCGTTTGAAAAATTATTACATTATAAATTATACATTATGTAATAAATAATTATAATTATATGAAGAATGAGGTACCGTTGTATTACTTATTAAAATTTACGTTATTTCTTTTCTTTTTTTCTTCATTCTCTCTCTCTCTCTCTCTCTCTCTCTCTCTCACTCTCTCTCTTTCTTTTTCTATTTTTTTAATAATAAATCCGAACTACACGTATATTTCAGAAATCATCGTTGAAATTTTCCTTATGCTCGCACGAATATATATTTACTTATTTTCGTTTATATCAAATTCAACATATTCCGTTTTTTTTTTCTTTTTTTTTTCGATAATTCGAGAGGACTTTGCAAAAGCTACAAAGATGGGAACGATACAATGTGCGGCTGGAATACTGCCAGTACCAACGAAAATCTGACGCTTCTAACGTATGATATTCTGTTATGCTCGTGGCTGATGCGAGCAATGTATAATACAAAAATATATATAAGAAAATGCATTGTACTCGCGAAAATAGATACTTAATGTGTCACAAAGAGATAAATTATAGTTGTATAATTTCAGAACTATGATGTTCTTAAACACATTTTCAAACTCCTTCATTGTAATAATCTTTCCCTTTTATTCTTATTTTTTTCGTCCTATTATTAGAAGATATAAAATAAATATATGCGATTATAAAAATAAGAAAATAAAAAAAAAGAACCAAATGTGACAATACATGATCTTAACATCTATGAATTAATTATAACAAAAATAGAAGATCGTTCTTGATCATTGAAGATACTGACTGAAATAATAAATCCTGATCCAAAGATGTTATGATTAGGTACATCCAACTATCATAACGATTAGATGTGTAGATAAAACTGATTTACCTTGTAAACATTTTTCCGTTCCTAGCTATTTCCATGAATCGCAGAATATATCCGTTAAAATGAAAGATTTCGATCGAATATACTAAAAAATATCGAGGACTGGTATGGGCTCTATTGTTATCCGATTGACCAATAATAATTTGCGTCGATGTTAGGTCGCTTACCTCTGCTAAAGATATTTATAGAGACAAACTAACGATGTTTCAACGACAAGAAATATAATCATCATTTTTCATTTTGATAATATTAAAATGAAAGAAAAAAAAAAAAAAAAAAGAAAAAAAGAAAAACATATTATTTTAAATATCTGTATGCATGTGACAGATATTACTTTTCTTTCTTCTCCTGGTATCACTTTTACAGCTGCTTACTTTAACTTTCTTTTATATTTATTACCAATCAAACGATAATCATTTTCTCGTAAACGGGCTCAAAGAATCGTAAGTTTCTCAAAATTCCAGGTCACCGTAGTTAAAACGTACGAAGAAGATATCACGTGCAACAAAGTAACAATTCGTAAATGCAACGACGAGTAGACGCGACTGCCCTTGGAGAGGATCCAAAATAGGTCTGCCACCTTGCTTCGAAACAGCTCCATACTAAAATATCAATTGCGTATTTAATACCTAATTATGTTTCTCTTCGATGCGCAAGACGGAATAAAATGAATTCGTAAGTAATACATAATACGTGTAAGCGAAGACATTGTTATCTTAAAAAAAAAAAAAAAAAAAAAAAAAAAAAAAAGATGAATTTTAAGCTCGTCTATGAATTTTCTTACCGTTAAACCCATCAATTAAATTCTTTTTAATGTCTATGAACCTGAATTTTTTTTATGTACGGAATCAACAAAAAAAAAATTGTATCTAAAATTTGAAAAAAATTATTAAAAATTATTTAATAAAATTTTATTAATCACAATAATTTTTGCTCTAAGCATTTTTCAAAATAATTAAGATTTTAAACGTTAAAAATGTATATAGTGCACATTTCGATTTCTTGTAACGCGGATTTTATTATTAACATGGCGCCATCTAGCAACGAGTTTTTAGCTTTAACTTTTAATAGGCTTTGTTGATACATGATATGCAGAAATGCTAAAGTCAGCGTAAACTTTCATTATCATTTATCGATAAATTAATTAATTTTAAAAGATTATAGAGAGATATATATATATATATATAATAAAAAATATCTGTAATTCGAAAACATACGTGTTTTATTAGTCACTGATCAAATTAGTTACACCCATAAATACATGCATACATATATTATATATATATGTGTACATATATATATAAAATCTTATAAAACTACGTATTTTAAAAATGATTCTATATAGCACGAATTCAAATTTTAAAATCAATCGTGACAGATACGTGTGTTTTGTTAAGTATCTAATAATAAAATAGTTTTATTTATATAAAACTATTTATTAAAAATCTCTATATTATTATAGAGATCTCTATTAAAGAGATTTTGATAGAGAACGATGAAACATCCAAGCTACAATTCCGCCGGATAAGAACGCGCTACCACTGTAATAAATATTTTTATGAATAATAAAATTAAATATCCATCTTTATAATTAATAACCAATATAATATATGTACTTACAAAATAAGGTACCTTATCGATGGAGAATGTTTTATGGGATTGTAAGGAACAATATATAATTCTTTGTTGTTTCGAAAATGATTTAAAATATCACGTGCACTATAAAAAAAAAGTTTGGAAAAAATGATATTGAACAATTATAAAATATGTGGTTAATTTAATTTTACGTAATAAAACTTTCGTTAAATGTAGATTCACCAACCTCCCATGACTCGCAACAGCTATGAAAGTACGATTACGCTTGAAAGGTTTTATATTAAAAGATCCAAAGGGAGCTAATTTCTTCGATATCTACATTTTTAGAAATTTAGAATTAAAAGATTTGGAATTAAAAAATTTTGAAGAATTATCTTATTCCATAATGTCTTAAATTAATTTAGTAAGATTTGGTGTACCTGATTTATATCAACATCGATTGGTGTTTTTACAAACAGTAATTGTGGTTTTTCTGTTTCTGGATCCTCACCATCTAGTTTCTAAGAAATTCATAACATTCGTTTTCTCATTAAACAGTTGTATTATTAAATATAATTTAAACAGAACAATTTTTTAATTTCAGTTCAAAAAATATATTCTTACCAAATAAAAATTGGAATTATGTGGTAAATTTATGTAATTCATGAACTCTTTTATACCATACACTATACTGCATGGAAATCTAAAAATGATAGTAAAAAATTGTTGTTTAAAAATCATAAAGATAAGTTTCTTCTAATGCAATACACTTACGTTTTTTCTCCCTTTGAAATACTATATATATATGCCATTTTAATAAATATATATGCAGTTAAATATGAATCAAATCCTGCATCATGAGATTTATACACATCTAAAATAAATGATTATATTAAATAATAAATCTATGTCAAAATAAATTAATCAAAACGAACACTGATAGAAATAATTTTATAACTTTATTATAAAATTATTATGTAAATTACCTTTCATGCTGTAACCTGTTTCTATAGTTATTGATTTAGATATATGATTAGATCCTTTGCCTTCGCTAAAGAAGTAATAAAGAGAACCAAGTGTATGTGAAAGACACAAATCTGAAAAAGAACATTTTTATTAAGAATTAAATAATAATAATAATAATAATAATAATAATAATAATTATAATAATAATAATAATAATAATAATAATAATATTATTATTATTATTGTTATTATTATTATAGTTAAAATAATGAGGTTAGAGAAAAAAGGGCACTCCTATAGCAAATAATAAAAATGATTACCTTCTCTATTGTTATCTTTTAGCTGGTAACTTAAACATCTAGTATCAAAAATTTTAGGAAATAGTTTATGTATTTCAGTCTTGAACTCTTTATAGTTTTCTAGAATATAAAACATCTATATAATATTATTTAATAAAACATGATATTTAAGTTCTTAAAATAAAAATAAGTTCTTTTACTTGGTAAAGATTTATAAAATAATTTGTACATATACATCAGATCGAGTAAAGGATTATGCCCAACAATAGGTTTCTGTAGGTCTACCAAGAAATTAAATACTTTTGTAAATCCTTCATATGAATCCAACAAGGCTTCATCTAAATTCTGTTCTTCTTCTTTTTCTAATATCTTTCGTACCTCCAATGTTACCATAAATATTGTTACCTACAAAAAAAAAGAAGAGAAAAAGAAAAAAAATAACTTTACAAATACATATGTATTTATGAAGATTAATAAATTATATTTTTTATTACTATTATTATAAAAATTGTTAGATGTACCTCTTTATCATTATTTGTTGTCCAGATTACTGGAAAACGATCTCTTAATACTTTCTGCAAAAAGTACTGTATATTATAAGAACTTGTATAAAGTTTTAAAACATCATCATTTTTATTATTATTTTCTAACCATTTAGCTACTTTATCAATGGCCCTTTTAATTTCATTATCATTTTTATATAACATATTATTTTCAACGTTTTTTAATAGCACATCATTTTCCAAATATTGTTTCAATATAACTTTTTCAGTTTTGTTAAGATATGAAATACCATTATAAATTACCTATACAAAGGAAAATTCCTATTATTCACTATATATATTTTATGCATTATTCATATATGACATTTATATAATTAATATATAAAAGATTATGTGTGATAAAAGATTTATATTTAGAAATAACATACCTTGTTAAAGTCGAAACAATAAGAAGATAAAAACTCTATTGCTCCAACCTGACATAAGAATCGTCTATTCTTTGTCGGAATAGACATGGGAAAAAGATAAAAATTGAAAGTTGCAGTCTTATATTTATCAGATTCCAATATTGTGACAGCGGTAATACCAAATTGAATAATTATAAATGATTCAGTAGTTTTTCGTAAATATTCATATTGCTCTTCAATAGTATTGAAATAACTGTGATAAATAGATGACATTATCAATAACTGTTGACTTAAATGATTATTCATAATAATTAAAATAATAATAATTGTTAATAAAAAGTTCCAATCTTATTACTAATATATACTTAATAGATGTAGATTATTTATTAATACTTTAATTAGTTGAATAGTTTTATAAATATCAATTAACCTTGAATTTATATCATCACTGCTCAAACCAGTAAATTCTGAATCAAAAGCAATAAAATCTGCTTCTTTTAAATCTTCCTTTACCATTGGTAATAGTTTCTCGAAATTTTTTTTTGTGACTTCGACCATGATAATAGCTTATTTATAATAATTATATTTATAAAAAATTAATACCAAGAAAGCTTCGTTTACCAGACGAAACCGAAGAAATTATAATTCTTACTAGTAACGTATATTACTTCAGCGACAAAATAACGAGTGTGGACAAAATAAGAACTACAAGTAAGATAGGAAAATATTGTTTCCATGAAATATTTCCCTATAATCAAGCTCTAATCAATCGAATTAGTGTGTAAAAGAAATGTTTGTATATAATAAAAAAATTTTGTATATAATAAAAAAACATTTGATAAAAGCAAGAAAAAAATCATGTCAGATTATACTCCTCCGATGATAAACTAAATTGAAAAGTTCTTTACAACTTAATTGAATATTTATCGGGCGAAATACAAAAATAAAATTGAGCATTTCTCTGGATATATTTTGTTCTCTTTTATAATGTTAATGTTATGTAAATTATTTAATAAGTAAAGAAAGATTGAGAAAAAGAGATAATTTAGTAATTGTTTTAATATATTTATTTATTTACTAATATTATTATTATTATTATTATTATTATTATTATTATTATTATTATTATTATTATTATTATTATTATTAGCATTCATATTACGACGAAAAAAGTCGTATTGATTATACGAAATCTTAAAAATGCCGTAACTCTTGTTACGAGATACATGTATCTATTTATGCTAACAAGATTTCTTTTTATTGATTAAGCGATTATACAATATGGAAAAATCATCTAAAATTATACAAATAAACATTTCATCACTATCTAATATAGTTTGTTTAATATTTAACGTGGATAAAATAATGAATTTTAATTTATATTAATATACAAATCAAAAAAGCCAAAACAATTATCAGATTTTCATTTTTCATTATCTGATTTATATTGAAATAAATGTTTGAATTTTTTGATTTCAAAAGCATTTATTCACACATTCGTAAAGCATACGTACATTTTAACATGATTTCTCACACACAGGTACACAAAATGCACACATACTTTATTACATAATTTGTAATAATCTAATTATGCCTTTACTTTTAGACTTGCATATTTTTGCATTAAAAGCGATATTTTGGTTGCTGTAATAAGTACATGATTTTGCATTAAGAACACTTTGTCTTATTATTAACATTTTATGATAAATTAATTGATAAGAAAAAGGGGAGAAAGCTGTAGGAATGTACTTTAATATAAAATAATGTTATTAGTTTGGATCAACCTACAAACTGAGATTTTTAATATTATTTAAGTTTTATCGTAATCTGCAATTCTGCTGTTACGTACTTGATTTACTTTTCACTTGTATAGTATGTTTCTTTTTAATATATTCAAATTATTCTTCCACAATACTGAAAGTCTGAAAATACAAGTCATCATTATATTGACTATTGAGGCAATATCAATATAAATTGCAATCCCAATTAATTGGCAATAACTAAGAAAGAATTACATCTCCAGGGCACTTTTCATATTTAAAGGATTACATGAAAATGCAGAGTTCTATCTATTTTTAAGTCTATCACTTATTTCTATCTTCTTTTTTTTTTGCCTTATAATGATGCTTAATGCATATACTTATAATCATATTTCATTGCTTGACTAGATGTTGTCGGTTTTATTCTTGTTTCTGTCGATTTGCATTATCATTTGCATTTGACAAATCACCATTGGATTGCCGATTTTTTGCCTGTTGTCTCAACTGTGCTCTTTTTAAACTTGTCATTAATTGACTGGATTGATATAGCCAACTGGCCTACAACATTATAACAATTTAAAAGAATAAATATGTAGAGCTGGTTATTCGACATTGATAAAACTATTTTGGGAATCAAGAGTAAATACCTTTAAGATAGTAAAGTAAAAATTATTGGTAAAAAGGAAAAATTATTGATTTCACTTACCACCATGATCATGCAATTCATCAAAATAGGTGTAGAGAAAACTATTGATATAAATAATCCTTTAGAATCAAAGTACTGTTGCCTTGAGAAAACCCTATAAGAATATATAATATGAAACACAAATGATGTCTTATCACAGTTAACAATTCAATGCTTACATCCAATTTGTTGCAGCCACTTCATTGATGGTTTCAGTAAAGTAAACAAGAAGTACTAAAAGCATGACCAATAGTAACAACATTGACACAGATATATGTATATAAATGAAGACTATACTATCTACTCACATAATACAAGGAATAAAATGATTTGAAAATTAGCATGATTTCGTGTCATCAGAGCTGTCATTGTAACAGCAATATGAAAAGTTAATAACAAAGCCAGCCATGGATCTCTCCAATCGATCTGTAATATAAACAGTTGTCGATATAAAAGTGTATACGTATTGACAAAGTACATTTTTATTCAATAAATTGATAATTAATAAAAAGAAAATAGGTTGAAACAATTACCACAAGTATAAAAATGTTAACATTAAAGTATTATGAAATTACTGGAATATGATTCGTTCATGAATTTTCTAATATTTTTAATGAGCATAAAAAATTATTAACAGAATAAAGCAAAAGGGATAAAAGAAAAGAAGACATTCATGTAAAAATAAGATATATTTCAAATTAAAACGGTCGTGATATCAGAGTCGGTTTATATATATATATATATATATATATATATATATATATTAATAATTAATGCCTTCTTGTTAGACAACGAAAGACAATAGAATTATAATAAATTATATTGATGGGTGAATTACGACATATTAATGCACACCTATAATCAAACTGATCGTAAAACATTACGACTATTGGAAAATTGAGAAAATACGTTGACAATAAGTGTAACGATCGATAAAAATAATGATAACGATGATAAGAATTATAAAAATGGTGACGACGATGACGATGACGATTGGGGGAAAAAGAAAATATCAAGAAGTTAAAGGGTGGGAGAGTAATAAGAGAATTTATAAAGTAAACATTAACGTGATCGCCTTTCGCTTTCGAGAAGCGCGAATGCGAGAGAGAGAGAGGGGGGGGAGGGAGGGAGGAAGAGGGAGAGAGAAAATAACGAGTGAAAGTGGATACAAATAAACTTACGCTCTTTAAAAATGGCCAGATTCCGTCGATCATGTCTGTGGCTATGGGATCTGACATCGTTTTTCACGGATTATTTGTACCGCAAAGAAGAGAAAGGCGCACATTCGCAAAATTACACGTTTATCCTCCACCTCCTTCTCCTCCTATTCGACTATTACCTTCTCCTTCTCCTCCTCTCCCTTTTCCGCCTCTGCCCCTACTTCTTCTTTCTCTTTTTTTTGCTATCCCCTAACACCCGTTCAAACCATCCAAATGTATGTGCTATGCACAGAAAAGACGGACGGATTATGTGTACTTACGAATAAATGACTTAACGCTAAATGCACATTGAGAGAGAGAGAGAGAGAGAGAGAGAGAGAGAGAGAGAGAGAGAGAGAGAGAGAGAGAGAGAGAGAGAGAGAGAGAGAGAGAGGCAGATAGACACGAACGTTTTAAAAAGAGGTAAAAAAAAAGGATATACTGATTAATTCAATAATGGAGGAAGTAAGAACGTTTTTCTTTACGTATATAATCGGTATGAATCGCAAAAATGAGGATAAAATAACGCTTACATTACTGACGTCGCCTGTATTGGCTATGAGCCTACGACGATGGCACGCGATAGGAGGACACGCATACTCTTTTTTACTTATATTATCGGAGCACTTCGGTAATCTTCGAGAAACCTCGGTGATCGTCAACAACAGTCGTTAAATTTCCCGCCGGACATACACTGTCCTCCTACGGTTATTATACGAACTATATTGACTTATCGGTATTACAGTTAACGTTGTAATCAATTACATTGTCAGCTAAATACAACGTGATATATCGTGATATATCCTCTATATATCTCATTCCTCGTTAGAAAGAGATAAAAATTGAAAGAATTCAGATCTTGTTTTATATATAAACTTTTATAACATGTTATTACAACACATCACTGCTTTCTGTTAAAAATATCTTTGATAAAATAAATGGAATTGGAATATGAGCACGATACGATTGAGGATTTAAATGAATGAGGCGTCGTACCGCGATACTATCCAGTGAGACGCATAATTCGAATGTTTTTGTTTTTTTTTCTGTTTTTTTCTTTCCTTTTTTTCTTCTCTTTTTTTCTTTTCTTTTCTTTTTCTTTTTTTTTTTACAAGTTTCATGTTTACTCTAATATAGTCTTTCATTCCTTTTTTTTTTATTATCTACAAACAAAATGAATAATTATAAATGCATTATTTTAAATATCACGCATAATAAAGACCAATAAAGTATAATTTTTTTACGAAGCTAATAATACTTATCATTAATTATCTTTCAAACATTGAAAATTGAATTCAGTTTTTGTCCTATTAATTGTTATCATTTAATACTATATATGTATCTTTATATAAATTCGTGTACTTTGTATCCATTGATTCATTTCTTTTCATTATCCTATTACTCATTTGATTTGCACTATATGAAATAAAAAAAAAAAAAAAAAAAAAAAAGAAAGAAAGATAAAGAGATAATACACACACATATATATATATATATATATATATATATATATATATATATGTATGTATATGTATATATTTGTGTATAAATTCAAAGTTCTATAGATTTTTTTATTATCTAAGAAATGCATCTGTAATCATTTTTAATTATTCACATTTAAATACGAATTTAAAAATAACCAAACAAATTGAACGGTTAAAAATCGATAAATATTATTCAGACTCTTTCATTGTTTTCTTTCATTCATTAACGTACAAATAAAAATAAAAGATCGTCTGAGAACTTTATTTGAATTGATCAATGAAAAGCGTTCAATATCATTTTTAACGTCATATTTCTCAATGTCTTACAAGAAGAAGGCTGATTGAAGAAACAAAGAAATGACAGAGAGAGAGAGAAAGAAAGAGAGAAAGAGAGTAAAAGAGACAAAAAGAAAGAGACGTATCTTATAAAAAATAAGAGTAAAGTTTAGTCGAGTTTTTTATATTTATTTTCATATATGATGATTAAAATTTATACAAAGACAATAATGATAATAATGACATGATCCCATTATATTATAAATGAAGAAGGAGAAAGAAGAATGAAAATCAGTCATCAATGTTTGGAGCCGTCGGTAAGAATTAATAATGTGAAAAACATTAACAATAATCACGAGTAATGATGTCGCATCAAATCGTAAGTTTGTCGTTTGGACTTTGAACGGTCAAAGATTATATCATGTTGGTGGACACAAGAAGAGGCTTCCTTCTCCTCATGTAAAGATATATCGAGCCAGATATATCGTGCTCGTTCTTGCGTGAGGTGTGTTCTTTCCCATTTCTTCTACAATCTATTAAGGGATATTGATATCGTCGAAATTTTGTGGCTCGATAGAAAAGAGGGAAAGAGAGAGAGAGAGAGAGAGAGAGAGAGAGAGAGAGAGAGAGAGAGAGAAAGAAAATAACAAAGAGTTCGTCGATTGTTTTTATTTCGAAGAGAAAGAAAAGACACTTGAAGAATGTCCTTCGAATTAGAAGAATGCCCTATCGATTCGGATACCAAAGCTCTCGCAGTAAAAGAACTCAGAGAAACCGAGGAAAATGTGAAAGATGGTATCGAGACTTTGAGAAAGTATATCGAAGGTGAAATATATTTTAATTCTTCATTTTTCATTTTTAATTTTTCATTCTTAGTTTTATATTCATGTATGAATTAACAATTATTAATATTTGGAAATATGATTAAAACATAAGGTATCTTTGTTTTAAAAATAGAATCTATTAAAAGATTCGTTATTGTATACAATTCGTTCGGGCATAAATATTTACTCAATCCGTGATCTTAAACGAAATCGAATAGTAGAAAACAAATGTTTTCACATGGTCCACATATCAAAGATTAAAACAGGCAACACTTGATACGTTCGGAAATGAGGGGATCACAAATGTCCGAGATAAGAGCGTTATCATTGTATTTTTTTTTTCTCGTCTTATTATAACTCGGATCGTACTTGTAAGATATTTTTTTTATTATAAGAAATTTTTCGATTCTTCCTAAAGGAAAATATTTATCAGAAAGGACACGATTATGAAAATGATCATGTGGATTAATAAAAATTTTTTTCTAATTAATATCTATATATAACATAGAAAAACAGAATTTTTTTTGTACTATCTAGCATTATGATAAGACAATTAATTAATCTTTAATCGATGATCTTGATGTAGAAAACTGATAAAAGTTGGTTGATTTGTTTGATGAGATCGATTTTTAAACATCAGGATTTATTGACAATTAAAGGTATAAGAGCATATTATATGTCCAATACTCAAGCAATATGATAGTGTTATTATTATAAAATTAAATATAGTTTATCAATTTTATAGAATTGTATTTTTTGTTTTTTTTTTTGTTTTTTTATTATCGTTTCTTTTCTTGAATTCATTTGATAACGGACGAAGCTAATTTTTTTTTTGAAAATTTCCTCTAATCAAATTGACCGGGGTAATTTACAAACGGTTAAGGAAACATTTTCAATCACGCAATGCTATTTTACATCCTCTGTAATTGAAGCATAGCCAAGCGTAGTCGTTTCTTTTGATTCTTACAAAATTTCAATTCTTATTCTCAGAGGATAAAAAATTATACTTTAGAACGGATGACGAATTCCTTATAATCTTTCTTCGACCATGTAAATTTTATCCACAAAGTGCTTACGAATTGATAAAGAGAATCGCTGACTTTAAACAAAAGCAAGCTGCTCTTTTGGACAATTTAATACCTTCCGATGAAAAGAAATCTTTTCTCGAGTACAATGTTGTCAATGTGCTCAAAAATAGAGATGAAAAAAGACGAAGGGTATTGATACTTAATATCAACAAATATTGGGATCCTTCGAAAGTGAGTGCCGATCAATTATTTCGATTGCTTTATATCATCCATGAGGCTGCTATGTTTGAACCTGAAACACAAGTATGATCACGGTCATTTATATTTTTTCTTTCTTTGTTTTCTATTTTTTGTCATTTGTTTCTCAATAAACTAGAATAATAAAATTTCGTTCTTTCTACAGGTACGCGGTTCCATCGTAATAATGGATTTCGATGGTCTCTCGATGAAACAAGTGATGGGTTTGACACCATCTTTTAATATAAGACTTCTAACTTTTATACAAGATGCCTTACCGTTTCGATTGAAGGAGGTTAGAATATAATCATGAATAATTCAAATAGATACGTCGTTTTTGTAACGTTATTATTCAGCCGTTTGTAAATTTTTTGGAAAAATTAATAACAATTTGCGTCATTATTAATGTCTTAGATTCATATTGTAAAACAGCCGTTTCTCTTCAATATGGTCTGGCAAATGTTTAAACCGTTCGTTCGTGAAAAATTAAAAAAACGTATATTTTTCCATGGCACGAAAATGTCCTCATTGCATAATTACATTGCCTCTAGTCATTTACCCAAAAATTATGGTGGTGAATTACCTGAAATCGATTATACCAGTGCCGATTGGTATCCGACAATTCTTCAATACGAAGATAGAATAAAAGGTAATAACTTTATTAACTAAACGTGAAAATAAAATGTGTTTTCATTTATGTATATAAATCACGATGTTTATCACTATAGGATGAGTATATTCATAAACCATTTTCTAATCAATTTTATTTAAAATTTTTCTTCGATTAATTATGTTTTTACATTTTATTTTTCAGAATGGAATTCATATGGGTATCGCAAAAATGAATAATCTCGATCTCCTATAGGGTATTTGTTTTCTTTTTCTCAAACAAAATCAAGTCTGGAATATTTTTTTTTATTAATCGTTGTTAATTAAAAAATAAATGTTAAAGATTATATATTTCACTCTGAATTTTATTCGAATTGCATATTTTATATTTTATATTTTATATTTTATATATATGACATATTTATTTAATCAAGTTCTTTTTTTTTTTTTAATACTTTCTCAGTGTGCGTATATATATATATATATATATATATGTATGTACGTATGCATTTTATTAAACGTAATCGTCTCGCAAATTTATTAATTAGATTTACCTAATATATAAATATTATTGCATATGTATATGTACATATTATATACATATACACATATACATGTATATATAGGTTCTATACATATATAGTTCAAGCATAATTCGTTATCGTAGAAAATCTATACTGATTTATATATAATATATAATATATATTTTTACCAATATTGAAACATATTTTATTTTATAGATCTATTTTAGGACATTCTATTATATAAATCTCCAATTGTTGTATGATGAATAAATGCTCTATGAACTTTATCATGACTTGCACTTTTTCTACGATGTATAATAAGGTGCATGAACTGTCCTTTTGACTTGCAAATTAATGGAAATAATCAACAAAGTTACATTTTAATTTAAAATATAACGAATTATGAAGGATAGTACTTTCACTTTTAAAAGAAATAAAATTATGAAAATAAATATATTTTGTTTCTGGACAAAAAATGAAATTCGGGCGAATGTTATTCTCATGAATGACAATTTATTTGCGATTGAACGACAGAGTCCGCATCTGTGGTTCTTTAAATAAATAAAAAACGAAAAAAAGAAAAAAGAATACGAATTTCTATTACCGATTATTATCATGAGATATATTTCATAGATATGGCTTCTATAGAAACAAATATAGAGACGAAAGGGAAATACGTACACGTATATATTTG